GCATAGTTTATGTGACATGAGATACAAATTCAGACACTGCCTAAACTAGTATCAGACTACTGCAAGAGTCATTAATAGGGGAAGCAGACTTGATATGAACCAACCAAAGACCTACATGAGGCCCAGAAATAAACTTCTAGGTTTTTCCTTAAAAAGTAATCAAGTCACACAGGAAAGCACCCCTCAAACATACTCAGGTATCTGAAAATCCATTCACTATACTTTTCCCATTCCCTTCCCCAAACTTAACTCTCTGTGCTCACCTCCTGAGAATCTCCCCACTATCCCACAGGCATTCCTCAGGGAGAAAACCAACTCAGCACTATACAGATGCTTTTAAACAATGACTACAAAACTCAATGATACTATCAGGTAACAAAAGACTTAGCATAAATTAATAGACAGGAACCACAAAATGCAAACCTTGATACTTCACAATCTTGCTGTTAATAGGAAAAATAATAGGGTTACTCAAGCTAGAACTAAGACTAGATCATGGAAGAAAGAGGACTAGTGCTTAAAAGTTATAGGAAAATAATTCACCTGTGAGGAAGAAATTGTTTAATTTAATTTGATTACTGCATGGGGCCAGCATCAACAGATAAATCAACAGATAAACAGATTCCAGTCATACAGTGGAAAATCCCAAAACACATTCTGAGTGGCCAGGCTCTCAAATAATAACAAAAAACCTAGAGTAAAATGGGAGTTCCTTCAATAGTGAGTGTGGAAAAAGTATTACTACTTTTAAGGGCTATAGTAGTGTAACAATTTATTACACGAATCATAACTGTCTCAGTGTTACCTTGTTTCATTTGTTTCTTCCTTGAATTGTTCTTCTAATACTACCTTATGCAGAACTCTGCTAGTTCTTCAGGTCGGGCTCTATTTTTCATTATATGCATCCAACTGTGCCCCATCATGACTGGAGACTCCAAATGCAGCTGCAATGCCTAGAAATACATAAATATCTTTTTTCATGAAACATTTCATTACAGAGCTGTCAGACTGTATCCTCTTGATGAAAAATGCTGATATTTAGAGTTTTCATCCTAATTTGAGACAACTCCAAGTGCTGAAATAATCAGAGTTTTCATAAAATGGAAATTCCATTTCTCAGTCAGCTCTACAGAGACTTATTTGAACACACAGGCCATCTCCCTTCACATGCAAGAGTATTCCAGATACCATATAATTCAGAGATTTTTCCAGTCTGGTTAGATTTTTCACAACCTGTTTTTGTTAGTTTCCTGGTGCTGCAAATGTGATTATTTGATTTCATTCAACTGAAACCCATATACTTTATGCTATAAAGAAAAATAATGTGAAAGATTTCTTGTGAAAAGTTTTCTGATGTGAAGGGAAACATCTCTTCTCTTTTTTATGACATGGAGTGTACACACCTCCAGAAATATCCCTCATTGAAATAGAATGTGGGTCTAGAATTCACTGAAGCTGTTTCTTTTTTTTTTTTTTTTTTTTAATTATTATTATTTCCTGTATGCCACAGCACTTAATTCAAGAGATGCTGTATTAAACCTACCTGAGAGGCCAAAGTTCAGAATAATATAGAATCATAGAAGGGTTTGGGTTGGAAGGGACCTTAAAGATCATTCAGTCCCAACCCCGTGCCATGGGCAGGGACACCTTCCCCCAGCCCAGGTTGCTCCAAGCCCCGTCCAGCCTGGCCTTGAACCCTTCCAGGGAGGGGGCAGCCACAGCTGCTCTGGGCAACCTGTGCCAGTGTCTCACCACCCTCACAATAAAGAATTTCTTTCTTACATCTAATCTAAATCTACCCTCTTTCAGTTTAAAACCATTACCCCTCGTCCTATCCTCACACCTCCTGACAAAGCCCCTCCCCAGACGTCCTGTACCCCCTTTCAGCACTGGGAGGCCGCTCTAAGGTCTCCCCGGAGCCTTCTCTTCTCCAGGCTGAACCCCCCCAACTCTCTCAGCCTGGCCTCACAGGGGAGCTGCTCCAGCCCCCTGAGCATCTATGTGTCCCTCCTCTGGACCCCCTTGAGCAGGTCTGTGTCTTTCTGATGTTGGGAGCCCCAGAGCTGGACACAGCACTGCGGGTGGGGTCTCACCAGAGCACAGTAGAGGGGGAGAACCTCCTCCCTCAACCTGCTGGAGACAAGGATGTTGTGTGAAATAGTGTCAGATGCTTTGCACATGTTCAGGTAGATGACATCAGTTGCTGTTCCCTTGTCCACCAATGCTTTAACTCCATCATACAAGGCCACCAAATTTTCAGGCACAATTTGCCTTTAGTGAAGCCATGTTGGCTGTCACCAATCACCTCCTTATTTTCCATGTGCTGTCGCACAGTTTCCAGGAGGATCTGCTTCATGATCTTACCGGGCACAGAGGTGAGACTAACTGGCCTGTAGCTCCCTGGTTCTTGTTTTTCCCTTTTTAATCATATCCCAACCACTTTATGTTTCTATCACTTTTCCATTTTAGTAAAGCATTAATTTAAATGTCCCAAAGTGTTGCACTCAATTGTATATAACTGAAAAGTTTGCTTGTTCCATCTTTACCATGTACCTTAATTTAGAATATATGGGTATGGTAGACAATAGGTAAGTATGAATTTATTAATAACAAAAAGAATTCCATTGTTAGCAGTGTAACAAATGTCTAGCCACCCGTATCCAATTTTATGTTTATTACTCCAGAAATAGTTAACAGAAAACTTAAAGATTTTTCAGGAGAAGAGCATTTACTTTAGAATGACACCTTAAAATACATTCCATACATGGATACTGAGTGATTGTTACAAGCTCCTTCAACCAAAACAGCCTTTGGATTTCACTGTAATTCCTGTATTAGGCTGTTAGCTTACAGGTGATCTAGACCACGAAGTCTATAACCCCATGTTTTTTTAAATACATGACTGAAATAAGAAAATAGGATAAAAGCTAGGATAAGATTTCTGTTTTCTTCAGAGTACTTGAGAAACATCTTTCCTAAACAACCATCCAAAGCAGTCCAGGAGAGTGTTTGAAGCGGAAAGACCAGTATCTAAACCCTTACTTATAATTTTCTTATTCTCTCTTTAGCTTTATTTTGGAAGTATGATGTGAATTAGAGAAGCCAGTCACCAATAGCTAGCAGTAACCTTTAGGGCAGGGGTCTGCAGGTAAAGGACAAGATCTGAGCATGTTTCAAGCAAGGCATGGAAGTCTAGAGGGTACAGTGGCTCTGTTCACCTGCTTCAGTTCTTCTTAGTGGAAAAGAAGGCAGTAGAAGCAAGTTGTGGGCTTTTTTCTTGTCTTTCACCCATGTTAGTTCAAAGTCTGGCATAACTCAGAGGCTGTAAGAGTTGCATCCATTACTATCTGATCTTAAGAATATTTGTTATGCATACTTATTCCATCACCTCACAATGCAATTCATTCAGATAACAAATCCAGGGGAAACCATTTCCAGCACTAAGATGTATGGAAGAAAACATAAGTTCTGCAGAAGAGGAAGTGTGTTATGGTTTTCCCTACAGTACTGTAGCTCACAATATTAAAGTTTGGTTTCCGTTGCTAATTCCAGGAATAAATTCCAGTCAAACTTCACTTACTCTGCCAGGTGTTGCTCTTGCCTTTCAGAAAGCCCTTACCAGAGTAGTCGCCCAGGCAGGCTGGCAGTGGGGTTTGTGTTGTCCCCTGCTACCATCACCCCAGAGGTGGGCTGTGGGGCCATGTCCTGCCCGCAGTGTGTGAGGAGGGAATGCCTTCCCACGGGCCCACCCTGCGCAGCCCGGCCCCAGGCACCCCTTCCCTGCAGCCCAGCTCCGACCCCAGCCAACAGCACTGGGGCTCACCGGGCCTCTCTGCTGCCTCTGCACCTGCCCAGTGACCAGGATTATGCCAGGGGGGCTCGTGAACTCCCTGAGGGGCTCCCAGAACTACCAGCTCCAGCGCTCCCATGTTTTCCCGCCACTGCTTCACCCCCTCAGGAGCAGGGGTACAGGAGGTGCCTGCAGAAGCTAGGCCAGCCTGCTCCCTTCCACACCGTGAGGGAACGCTGAACATGGCGGGTCTGTTGTGGGGATAAAGATGAAGGGAAAGGACCCATCTCCCAGCTGAGCAGAAGCCCTTAAGGCAGTGGACACGAGAGAAATACCTGCGGACAGTCTCTCCCACAGGTAGGCTGCATCCTGCAAGCTACACCTAATAACCCTGAAACCAGGACACCTGCCATGTAAAACTGTCCTCCAGCTGCCAGAGGTGGGAAAGGGATCACCTCTTCTTCCTGCAAAGAGGAGCAGTAACAGCATATTTCCAACATGATGTTTGGTGAGCATCTGTGTGCAAACTGGCTGTGTTGATGCCCAGAAGGTTAAGGTAGGTGCTAACCATTACTTCTGCAGGCAGCCAGAGGCTTAGTGCGGGTACTGGGAAATGCGGGGTACCCTGCGGAACCACTAATGAGCTATAAAGCCATTAGTTGGTAGGTCAGTAGGGCCAGCACTGCTGTGTGGGCTGAGCAGGGTTTAGCCCTGGCAGGGTGTAGAGCTGTTGGCAGCACAGAGAAGCCAGCCCAGCTCTATGCTGAGCTCGGCCATGGATGTTCTCCAGGAATGGGGCATACCACAGGAATTGGGAAATACCCACAAATGCCGGGCAGGGGATGTTTGCTCTTGAGGAGTTTTATTTCTTAAGGGATATTTAGGAATATTAGTATAAGATTTATTCTAATCCTTTGAGCGGTTGTGTGGTTTGTTTTCTTTTTTTTTTTGTTTTTTAATCCTGCTCGATTTTTAACGCTTTAATTCGGCTCCATTCCCCCGCCTTTCCCTGAGGGATTAGACACAAACGACGGGCGCCTGAGGGAAGTTAGTCTCCTTTAACGGAAGATCAACTCCGCCTCGGATTGATGTGAAACTCATCCAATAGAGTTACAAACCCCCACCCTCCCCGGTTCGGATTGGCTTCGTATCGCGGGGAGAGGCGGGACTTCTGCTCAAACCGGTGGCGCCAAGCGGGCGCCCTGCCGCCATGGAGGCCGTGCTAGAGCAGGTGGAGCAGTTGCCTGCGCTCCTGGCCGTATCCCGCTCCGCGCTGGTGCGCGACTGGGACTCCTTGACCCTGGACAGGGCTTTAGAGTGGGCCCGCTATTTCCAGCACCTCCATGACCGCTTCCGCACCCGGTCTCGGCTCCGGGAGGCCCTCGGGCGGCGGCTGCGGCGGGGTCAGCCGAGCCCTCTGCTCGGCTTCCCCCACTTGGGACGCTGCCCGCAGCTGCTGGGCCTGGCGCTGCTGGAGAACCGCGCTCTGCCGCCCGCCGCCTGCCGCCGCCTGCTCCACAGCCTGCTGCAGCCCGTCGGCGCGGCGGCCGGCCCCGAGTCCCGCGACCTGGCGCTCCTCGCCCGCCGGAAGGCCGCCTCCTGCCTTATGGGGCTGCCCCGCCACCCGCCGCGGGCCCCGTCGGCGATGGAGCCGCAGCTGCAAGCGGAGGCGCAGCTGCTGGTGACCCGGCTGCGAGAGGAAGGGCAGGAGGTCGAGCCGGCTGGAGGGGCTGCGGGGCAGCTGCCCTGGCTGGCCGGTGTCCTGGAGCAGCTCCCCCAGTCCCGGGCTTTCGGGGTGGTGGCGGCGGCGTTGCTCTTGCTGAGGCAGGGGAGCGTCGCTGAGCAGGCCGGGGACAGGGATCAGGATGGGAACAGACTAGACACAAACCAGGCGAGTGCAACGGGAGAGGAATGCGTTGCCGGTTACCTGCTTTCCTGGCTTCTGGAGAAGCCAGGGCGATTTTCTGCCTTCTGCCTTTTCCTGCCTGGCTCCCTTCTTGCCTCCCTAGCTGGTCACTACTCCCAGTTAAGCAGACCTTATTTGGACCTCTTAACCAGCTGGGGAAGCCACTTGTTCTATGACCCATTTCAGGGACAGTGGGTTAAAAGTTGTCCTGACAAAGCTGAATTGTCCTGGGAGGAGCTGAGGGAGCGCTTCAGCTGCCTCTGTCAGGGATCTGTGCTACTCAGGGGACAGACCCAAGCTGCTCTGAAACTGCTGAAGGCACAGGATGGAGACTTCAATGTTCGTGGCCTAAGTGTCTGGACTGACCTACTGATGGGAGTAGAGGAATATCTGAGGAAAGAAGCAGAGTGCTAGTGTGTGAACGTAAAAGCAACATGAAAACTTCTGAAATCTAGCAAATCTGCTTACCTCTATTTGATAGAAGAGCAAGAAAACTGTACCTCACTTGGGGTTGAAAACCAAGCGTTGTGACTGTTGATCACACTGCTTCTGACTGCATGTCAAATCTCTCAGGGAGGCCTGGTGCTCTCTTGGAATTTCACTGTTAATTTTGGTCACTGCATGAAACGTTTTTCTTTTCCGTACTTGCTGCTCACCTAATAAAATGAAGAAAATGCTTTCTGTTTCAAGTGTAGAATAGTTTCCTGTTTAGATATTACAGTTCAGATAAGATCATGGTAGTCCTGTCTCTAACTGCTGGAGGCTGACCAAAAGCTCAAAGGGAAGATAGAGTTTCAGACACGACAACTCCAAATTCAGGGTTAATTTTGTAGTGGTTCTCTTCATTGGGCTGTCTGTTCTGGTGGCTGCTTTTATGCTTCTTTAGCTCTTGCACATGACTTAGCCCCTGGGTTGAAGTGAAAGTGAGAGAAAGCCAACTGGAAAGCTTATTGAAAAATTCTAAAATTAGAATGCTTTATTAGTTGCTATATTATATGATAATATCCAAGCATTTCCTAAGAAAACTGCAGTAGAATGTAGGGTGTTCTGTGTGGCTTTCTTCCTTCTTCCATAGTCCGTAACATTTTTATTTTTGTTATGTGGAGCAGAAAAATGAGTGAACAACAAACTTTTTTAATGGATGACAATTTTTTTCTTCATTCTTTTATGTTCAACCAGATTGTGTAAGCAAAAGTTGATAGTGTAGTTTTCATCTTAACTGATCACTGTCATTTAAAATGAGTATTGTAATGCAAAGGTAACATGTTCACATGTGGTTAGCTCTGTACTGCCAAAAGTGAGCGGTGTGATAAGAGAATAGTCGAGGAGGATGGGGGGAAATATAGGTGAATACCACAAAAAGAGGTTGACATTGATCTTTTGTGTGGAGCACCTGTCGAAGAGTTCCTGTAGCCCATGTTCTCATACTTGCAAGGTCAGCTGAGATAGCTCTCTGTTGCTGAAGTCCCTTTAGGAGGGGTTATAAGGTGCTTCGCTTCTGCTTACAAGTTCAAAAATGCAAACAGGATATTAAGTATAAACTGGATTGAAGCTAATTAGAGTAGTAGTCTGTATTATAGTGTTTAATATTGTATACAATTATGGCAGATACTTCTGTAAGATAAAACTAGAGTAGGAAGGATTTTGAGTGTTTGAAATGGAATCTGTTAGTACCAGGGGATAAATATTGTTTATCTGGGAAAAGAAATAATGACTATTTTAACTTGCAGGGAAATAATTTAAAACATACATAAGTTCTGACTCTTCCTCATCTTCTAAAACAGCAGAGATACTCAAGAGTAACACACTTTAAATAGTTAGAAGGACATGCTGCTAATCTCCTATCAAAAATATGACTGTTTTCTTTGGATTCTTTGCTTCATCATGTCAGTGAGGCAGTAAAGTTATGGAGATCTGCAGGTGAACGTATTTTAAGAGCTACAGCTGTGACAGTTGTCTTGCTTGCTCTTAAACAGGCTTGTCCCCCCTCCTGGGACTGGTGGTGGTGGTCAGTCTTAAAAGACAGCCCTGTGTCAGTGGACCTTGGGACAGAGTATTTCTGTGGTATCAAAAGAGTATGAATGTTCTCTGTAAGCATTTAAAACTTGCTTAGAAAAAAAACCTGTAGAAGTATAAAGCATGAAGTTTGAACTTACGTTGTCTAGCCATGGTTCCCTGCGTTATGTAGTTTTGGCATTTGGTATGGAAATTCTGCACTTGAGCTTGCTCTTAACGCTTTTAACAGGCATAAAGGTTTTTGTCTGTTAGAATACTTTTTGCTATCAGAGATTCCTGATGAATGATATACCCAAAGATACTAGTCAAAGTCATTCCCTTCTCCCTGGCTCTATGTTAAAGGTGAATATCAAATGTTGCAGTAATGTTACAGTAACAAAACAAACCTTATCAGTGTTCCTTCTGCATAGACATATAGTGGGAAAAGTTGGGTAGAAGCTGCTGGAATTCCTTCTCTTAGTGAGGGATAATTGATCTCAACTATTTAAAAACTTACTGTTCGCAGGTACCCGAGGCTTGTGACAAATTTCAATGAGATTTAAGTCTTGTTTTTGCTGGTCAGGCTAGATATGTTCCCTAATGTACTGAGCATGTTGACCATGAGTTAAGTTTCTGAAGTGGCTTTTAACTATTTCTAGGATAAATCTGATGTTGTAGAAAGTTTGTACTTGCACTATTTCAAGTCTTGCTTTTTGATAAACTTAATATTTCTCTTGTAAAATTCAGTTAATGGAGACAAATGTCTTCTTTCCAAGTAACGTATCATTACACTTTGTACGAGCTAAGTTCAAGTAAAGAATCTTCTGTTGGAGTAGCTAGGAAATAATAGGCCCTTCAGTGTGATTTTTATTAAGAAAGTAAAGAAATAACTGGGGAGGGGCAGGCAAGGAATGGGCCAGTATAGAGCATATAGACTTGATTTCCAATTATGTCTTCCTTACGGGAAACCTGAATAGTAAAAGGTAGTTTAGCCTCAGTGCAGCAGAAGCACCTGGTTATAGCAATTTCAGAAAAATGTTCAGATCTGTCCCAAATACATTATAAAGAGGTGCCAGATCCATTATTACTGAATTCCAAAATCCATATGGCATTTATTGAAATAAATGCACCAGTCCACATCCCCTGTTATTTCAGCATGCTTGTCAAGTTTGTCAGGTAGTTGTGCAAATGACACTTAATTAAAGTTTTTTGGGACTCTAATAAAACTGTAAACAGGAAAGGAAGAAGTATGATGTCTGTAACCTCCTCACTTGATGTATTTGCAGCTTGTATTTGTGTGCTGAGGTTTGCAGCACAAATTTGCAAACTCTTGCCCTTAACAATCTCAACTGTTGTGGGAAGTAAGACACTAGAAATGACAGACTATAGCCTCATTCTCGACCACTTCCCTTTTTTACTAAGAAAGAGGAACAGATCTCTGCTTTTTTTCTCTGTTAAAATGATGATTGAAGAAATTGTTATATTCCTGTTTCAGAAGATTGGTAAGGATTGTGAAGTGAATCAGGAGGATTTTACTTGCCCAATAAATAGCTAAGCTGGATACATTTTGCTACAACTGTGTTGGGTTTTTGGTTTTTTTTTGGTTGGTTGGTTGTTTTTAGTTGTTTTTTTTTGTTTGGGTTTTTTTTATTTTTTTTTTTTAGTAGTAAAGAAAAAATGTTTTACCTTTGTCAAACAGTACCATAACTTCACAAGTGGCATACTAGGAGATGTCTGCATACTAAGCTGCTTTTTTTCTTATTTTTCTTGTGAAGTGTCACAGTATAATAACCCTACTATATCAAAATCTAGAAGAGAACAAATCGTATGTTCTTCTAGTAATTTTCACTATATATCTAGACGCTAGAATAAGGAAAAATGGTCTAGAGTAAGTTGTGGATTTATGAAAAAAATAGAAGCATATTGGTAGCATTCAGATGACTACATGAACTCAATTGTCACTGAAAGAACATTTGTTAAATTCAAAATGGCCAGTCCAACAACACAATCAAATCGTTTTGCACGCAAGGCTTCTTTCCCCCACACATCAGCTAGGTGAATAAGGATCTCACGTTCTTGTTCTTCAGTGACAATGACGAGACATTTTGTGTGTGTACAAGAGAGTATTTTTTAGGTCATGAAGACAAACTAATACTTTGATCATAAGGCAGGGTATTTTCAGGTACTGTTTAACTAGAGAGCTCAGATAAAGTTGTATGGATAATTTTAGTTACAGTGTTTCTGAAAAATGGAAGATTTAAAGCTAAATTCTATTCCTCATGAACAGTTTGGATGAATGACCAATTACAGCATGCCAGTGAAGGCCCCACACTATTGCCATGCAGAATACAGCAGAGAGCACTAGCATGGGAATCATCTGCTTGAGAAGCTTATTTAATTTGATGTGCAGTTACATGAAAATAAAAAAAATGCCAGTGGAGATGGTGAGGAGAAAAGGCAGGAAACTGCTCTCTTCTGAAGGCCCTGGAGAATGGGTAGATTTGCCCTTCAGCAAAACTGCATGGCCTTCCTACTGCTGGGGACAGCGTTGGGTCTGTGAGTGTTATGATTAAAAAAAAATAAAAATCAAAAGACTTTTGATTTGATGTTGGCTGCTCTGCTAAAGCACTCAGCCTCTGTGTTCCCTAATGACCACTTGGATCGATGGTTTAACAGGCAAGAAAATTAAGGTAGTGAATGAGAAATGTAGCTGTGTGTGCAGGGTAGGAAACTGTGCTTATTTAAATAGGGGTTGCTCTAACAGGGGTGAGAGCAAAAGAACAATATCCTATCTGCCCTGGTATAAAACAGAGTTGAATAATCACAAGTATAGTCAGGGAATACAGATTTTTATCAGTTAATAATTAATATAAATCCTTCTCGCAAGCTGTTTTCCCTCAGTACTGTATCTGTCTCGTGAAGGATTAAATGTTATTTTGACCAAATACATCACTTTTTATTAATCAGTTATGTGCCTGAACGGAATTTCAGATTGAGAGATGCTAGACAATCTGGAAACAATTGCATGTTTGTTCTCCCCTACTTATATACTTTTTTAAATGTCTCAGAAAAAAAGATACCAGTAGCAATGAACTAAACCAGAGATAAACACATAGTTAAGATGCATTCTATCATTTTTCAAATGTAGCATCAAAACTATTTAACTACGTTAAACTCATTAATGTAGCTACTACTTCAATATTGAAGTCATTCGTATAGCAACACTGCTTTATTTCCTTGTGTGCCAATACCTTAGAGTTACTGATACTTCTTTACATATTTAATTATATCCTGATAGTTTTTCATTGTGTCAGTTCTTTCACAAGTAGAGATCGTTGTCCCTAAATATTTAGTGGTTGGCATTTTATTTACAGTTAGTGTTTTGAATCATCTCGGATACCACAGAGGGTGGCAGCAGAGTCTCTCTGCACAGATGGGCTTGGACTTCTGAGCCAAGGGGAGAACCCAAGCCTGTGGGCTGTTTCTAGAGGCAGAAGAGACGCAGGGAGTAAGTACCCACTGTTGTGTTACCCACTCAGAAGTTTCCAACTGAAAAATCCCACTGAAAGTCTATTTTGTCCTTGCAGTTCTGTTTTTACCAGCTCTTTAATGTAATGTAGGATCAGGTAATAATATAGACTGTATCCCTTAACTGTCTTTATCCACAGACCTGTTTTATTAATAATACTAGGTA